GGATGGATGGATGGATGGATGATGATGGATGGGTAGATGGATGGATGGAAGATGGATGGGTAGATGGATGGATGGAAGATGGATGGGTAGATGGATGGATGGAAGATGGATCGGTGGATGGATGGATGATGATGGATGGGTAGATGGATGGATGGATAGATGATGGATGGATGATGATGGCTGGGTAGATGGATGGATGAATGAATGGACGGATAGATGATGGATGGATGGATGATGGAACTTTCCATATGAATTTAAAATAGGCAAAGCCAAATAGGAAGTGAAGTCATATTGTGGAAGCTGTGAACTTGTCTTGTTTTATGGTCGACTAGTCTTTTTTATTAGCTCAATTTGATCTGAAGTAAAGTATTCTAAGCATCAGTGCTCGTTTTTGATAGCTGTTGGAGCAATTTAAATATTTTTGACATAAAACTTAGAACCCGAGCCAAATATTTTAGTTCTTAGCAAATAAATCTTTAACAGGTGGTTAACTGGGTCCTTTGCTGGAGGAAAGACTGGTGATTTTGGCCTTGTTTTCCAGCAGGCCAGGGATCAAAGTAAAACCGTTATACAAGTGTTACAGTTCTGTGGCTCTGGCACCTGCCTCGAAACTTGGATTTAATACACGGAGACCTGCAAGTATTTGGCCTTGTGGCTGGCTTTAGGGCCTGACTCGCTGAACTAGATCTTGAGACCCAGTTTTGTGTGTTTTGAAATCAAGTCCTGAAAGTGATTTTTAGATCAATCCAGCCATGGCTGTTTCTCTCTGATGCAGCTTCATTTTCACTCATCATTACTGCTACGACTTTGGATAAATGTTGAAATAGCAGTCGAAAAACTTCTACTGTGGTTCTTGGTTTCTGAGCAGAGTTTAAAAGGTCAAAAGAAAAGACCGTTCCAGGGAAAGGGACCTTTCTACGCTCTTCAAAAACACAAACCACCTCAAAGATGTTGGAAATGCTGGAGAGCAACATCTCAAATAAGTGTAAACCGTTTCAAGATCAGGCAGTTGTGGCATTAAACTAAACACACACAAACACACACACACTCCCTCTTTTTCTTTCGCTGCCCTCATCAGAGTGAGGGAAGGCTGTGGGCAAAGTGCCAGGTGCCTCTCATGTTTGGGAGAGCAAACAGGCTCGTGTCTTTGATGGCGAGGAGATCAGAGCGGGGGACGCATTCTACGTGGCCGCGCTAAGGTCGCCGCAGTGCACACCCTGCTGCCATGTTGTGCTCCGCAGCTAGGCGACTCGGAGTATACACAGTGCGGGAGTGGGAGAAGAGTGTGTTTGTGTGTGTGTGTTGGTTCAACTCCACCAACCAACTCATCGCACACTCGCCTTTGCTTTCCAAGACACACTCACTCCAACTCTGACGTACAGTTTGCAGTTGTCTGAAAAATGGTTAAACCACAGGAACAGGGTCGGAGCAGCGACTCCCAGTCCGAGCAGGAGTCTCTCGGCACTGGTGACAGCACAAACCTTGCCTTGACTTTCTCCGTCTGTCATCATAATCCCTCTTTGGACCAACTTCATGTGTGCTTTGTAGATGTTTTTGTTCTTTACTCAAGATTTCTTTTATTATAATATTTAATCCTTCTGCTTTATTTGACCAACATATTTAAAAAAGAAAAGAAAGAAAAACAACCTAAGTGGTAACAGCACAACAACATTAGAAATGTCATTTCATTTCTGGTAAACGTAACGCCAGCGCCAGTTCCTGTCATTTTATATCTAGGGCGCATTTTCTGACTGCTGTGGTTGGACCTTCAGCCTTCTTCTTACGTCCTAGAAAGCAACGGTGACACATGTTTTGCAGCAGCTGTTATCATTTTTTTCGATGACTACATGAGTGATTAAAAACATCCTGCGTCAGAAATGATGGGCTCATCACTAAGACGTGTCCGATGCCACTGTCTGTTGTCGATAATCAAAAATAAAATAATTAGCGTGATTAAATATTAATCAGTGGCAACTTGTGCATGCGTGCGTGTTCGAAGTCAATGCATGTTTTTAATGTTACAACATGTGCGCTTCTGCATGTGTGTTTAGGTTTCGAGGTGTCTGTTTCCTGTGAGATGGGGTAAAGTTTGTTTGTGAGGTGGGGGTATCTAGTTTCCTGTAATAGGGCGGTTGACTTTATGTAAATAAGCTTAGGGCCTCAGATTGGGAGATGACGTTCGGGGGGGTTGGGGACTCACACAGACAAGTTGAGTGTGTGACAGAACGAGGTCAGGAACTGGCTTTCTCTCGATTCCACTGACAGCTGCGAGTCCCAGCAGCTAAAAAACCTCCGTGTCCCACCTCTAGCAGTCCCCCCTCCTCAGCAGCAGGAACCCTGAGCGAGACCTGTGGGTGGAGCGGCTGGGCAGCGTTCGGGCTCCATGTGCTCTGTCTGTTCTGACTGCGTGTCTCTGTGTGCCGGCTGTTTGTTGACAGATGACGCGTACCAGAAACTGGCCATGGAGACAATGGAGGAGTTGGAGTGGTGTTTGGACCAGCTGGAGACCATCCAGACCTACCGCTCTGTCAGCGACATGGCCTCCACCAAGGTAGGAGAGGCTGCACCTTTCACTGTTTGCTGTTATTGTGTTTCATCATAATGAGGGGAGTTTTGTGCCATCCCACTTGTATTTTGTGCAGATAAATCCATGTGTTGCAAGTGTTTATACAAAAAAGGGCCCCCGCTTTTTGGGGAGCTCTCAAATCTGACTAGCAAGGGAATCTGCAGGAAGCATTAATCCTTCAGCATAATAAACACATGAAGGACGGTATACAAAATCCAAAGATACTACTGCTGAACTTAGCATGACCCATGAAAGTAAACAGCGTTAAAAGTTTGAACATAAACAGAACAGTAATGAGGAGGAGATTGGTTTGGCAGAGGGGGCTGAGATGAGTGCTGATTGGATTAAAAGGCCACCAGCTCACTTGTATGTCCTATTTATCATCAGAGTTTTTTTCCTGAGCAAACATAAAACTCTCCTTGTTGAAAAGATGGGCTAACAAGTAGGTGTGTGTTTTTTCTGTGGCTCTCTTTCCATCTTAGCTGACTAACTTTTCCACTGTCCGCCGATTATTCTGTTTCTTCTGTGTCACCGATTGCGTGTCATATGCAGTGAAGTTCAATGCCTGGTTCTTATGTGAAGAGACAGGAAGTTGACACAATGGTACTGAACCACATTCAGCTTAATGATCGCTTGTTGTATTGCGCTTCCTGTGCTCGTGTTACTGGATTCTGGACGTGATATCTAAGAATTATTAGGTTGCATCCATGACTGTGTGAGTCATGGTAAGTTTGCTCACTTACAAAGAAATGAACATGTGTTTTATGGTTGTATCATTTTCATGGAAAGAGACAGACATACAAGCAAAACATGACTTACTATTTGGTGGTGGACGAACCCTTGTTGGGGTAAGACGTTTCTTTTTGTTGGTCACCAAGTTTGCAAAGATTTCACGAGGGGTTTTGGCCCTCGCTTCTTTACAGAAACTCTCTGGATCCTTTGGGTTTTGTGGCTGCCGTTTAGCAACTCGAAGCTGCAGCTTCCTCCACAGATTTTCTAAAAGACTGAGGTCTGAGGCTAGGCCACTCCATGACCTTAACGTGCTTCTTCCTTACCCACTCAGAGGGCAGTTTGGTCATTTTATATTTCTTCCATTTCTGAATAATGGAAGCTCCTCAAACGTTTTGTACCTCAGTTCCAGTCTTGAGCATATCTAAGGCTTTGCCTCTGACCATGTCCATGGTGGTGGCGAGTTTCGAATGGAAGAAACTGGTTCTGTGGACAGGTGTGCTTTATAAACACGAGTTGAGATGAATGATTGATCCTAATCTGTACACATGGGCACGCAGCCAATCTGTGGGAGTCCGAATCCTAGCTGGGTGGTAGGGGATAAAATCTTTATTTCACTCACTAACATGCAAATCATTTTAAAACTTTTATGTATTTTCTCTGGATTTTTGGTTGATATTTTTTGCTTCTCTCCATTAAAACGATACTACCATAAAAATTAGAGACTGTTCGTTTCTTTGGAAACGTACAAATTCAGCAGGGGATCAAAAAATTATTACTCGGTCTATAATTTATTTCTCTGTCATTAGAATCTCTGCTGCTATTACCTTAAGGGCTGTAATACAAAACACATGGTCTCATAATTGCCTCCTTTTGGCCTTTGCATTCAGATGATGTCATGGATATCAAAGCACGGTTTCCCAGTTACGACGGTTTTACATATATTCAGTTTTGTACTTTAAGAATTCATAATTCAGAGAAAATGATCAGACCTCGCCTGCGGCTTGAGGCATCCTGTCAGTCCACAGGTGTCTGATTTTAAAATGGTTGTCGATAGAGATAATGTGGTTGGCCGCCAGCCACCAAAGTAAATACGTCTGTGGGATTTAAAGGTAGGATGAGTTCATGAGTCACTGGATATATGGCCATCACTGTTAGAGATCTAACCTGGGCAGTTTTATACCGTAGACTGCCACAGAGATCGGCCACTTGGAGGAAGCTAGATATTTACATTTTTTGGTCTTTTGTTTAAGTCCAAACCACAGAAAG